GGGGAAAGCTATGGCAAATCTAGACAGCATACTAAAAAGCAGAGACAGCACCCTGCCAACAAAAGTGCGTATAGTCAAGGCTATGGTTTTCCCAGTGGCAATGTATGGCTGTGAAAGCTGGACCATAAGGAAGGCTGAGTGCAAAAGGACTGAGGCCCTTGAATTGTGGTGCTGGAGGAGACTCCTACGAGTCCTTTGGACCGCAAGGCGATCAAACCACAAGGCGATCAGTCCTAGAGGAGATCAACCCTGACTGCTCTTTAGAGGGTCAGATACTGAAGATGAAACTCAAATACTTTGGCCACCTAATGAGAAGGAAGGACTCCCTGGAGAAGAGCCTAATGCTGGGAACAATAGATGGCAAAAGAAGAAGGGGACGGGAGAGGATGAGGTGGCTAGATGGAGTCACTGACGCAGTTGGTGTGAGCTTAGGTGGACTTCGGGAGATGGTGGAAGGACTGGAGGAGTGTCATCCATGGGGCCGCAATGGGTTGGACACGACTTCGCGACTAACAACAACAACAACAAAATGGACAAACATGTTCATCAAAAGATGAGCAAGGCAACATCCTCATCCTTGCCACTCATCCTAGCTACAGTTAAGAAGTATAAACATGACTGTTATACGAACAATTTTGATCAGTGCCTGCTGATTTCAAAACAGTGTTTACATACCTGCAACTAAACTAACACCAGTAATATCTCTAACAACACTAAGGCCTTCATACCGAAAATTATGCCAAATTGCCAATAAAGGCACAAGAAGAATGGAAATAATTGTAGGAGTGGACATCGCATTAACCAAACTATGCTAAATTACTATTATCAGTTTTCTAGGAGACTGTTGCCACCTGTAAATTTCACAAACAACAGCCAAGTAAAATGGATGTTCACCCTCAAACATGCATCTTCTTCTGATACAGTGTCATGCAACTTATCAGGCAGCATGAGATTACCAAGTATCAATTTTCAAGCAGCAGCACATATACTGGGTGAGTTAGCACAACACATTAAGCCAACCTGCAAATAATCTACATGGTGTGGTTAGTTCATAGAAGAACCCACTCTGTGTCTGACACTTAACCGGAATCATGAGTTGATCTCATCCTTCTTTCTTGGTCATCCAGCTGGTATCCCAATGTCCCTCACTGCAGAACCCACCTTGTATCTTCCTCCCCACTCCAAATGGAACTGCTTTTTATTCATATCTGTATTTGAACTTAAAATACGCACACAGGGGTGCCCCAGAAAATTAAACAGGTACATTCTCTTTTAAAAAAATGAACCTAACTGCTCAATTTTTGTTGGTGTTTTGGAAGTGTACAAGTAAGTGCACATTTACAGCTGTCATATATACCAGAACATCTGGTCAATGTTCTTGTCTGTTTCAGCTGTCCAAGAGAGCAGCAAAGTGCACTAAATAGCCAACTGACAAAGTGAGACTGTATATAGGCTAATGCGCATGTTTGCAGAGCAAACCATTTATATCACTGGAAAGCGAGGAAAAAAGTAGGTGCAGCTAAAAGGGGGTGGAGACAGATTTCCCCTTCAGCAATGTGATCTGCTCATTTTTTAAAAAAAGTCTTGAAGTGCCGGTTCTCAATGTTTTCCACATCTTGGGCACTTCCCAGGTCTCCAGCTTGTCTGAAAGACCAACAAGAAAAAACAAATCAAAATGCTGTATGAACCCAATCAACTTAAGACTCTTATATTCATAGAAATCCCAAACACCTAGAGGGCACCAAGCTGGGGAAGGCTGAATTAATTAGAAGCTTCACAATACACCAGAACAAGATACAGCCAATATTGTAAGCCTGAAAAGGTTAACTCAAACTTGTATACACAAAAATAGTTGTACACTCAAATTATCTTACACAAACATTCAATATCCATTACACCCCTTAAAAAGGGAGGGTATCCCTGAAATATTCCAGACCTTGTGCACCTGTAAATAGTAGTTTGCTCCAAACTAAACTCAAGGTATATGTGGGACCACTTCTTGTGATCAAACAAGCTACAGCAGTTTGTTTTACTAATCCCCAGCATACGCCAGGTACCATGTCCCTAATTATCTGCCCTGATGAGGCTTCTTGTGTCATCCAAATCTCAGAAGCATGGCTTGTTTGAAGGGAAGCTTCTCCCTTAAACAAGACATGCCACATGAGTTCAACAGCCCAACAAGCTGTGCCTAGGTTGGTTACTAGAGAAATGGCATCAGCACATGCCAGGGACTAAAGCTGGCCACTGTGACTTATTTAAGACATGGCAACTAGATTTATGTATCACTACAACTCATCATGGATAACTAGCCATGATGGGTTGTCATATTGTGCAGATCTAGGCTACTCCCCACAGGGTGGTTATTTTCCCCAACAAGTCACCCTGACAACCCATGACTTATTTTAAGGGTTATTAAGTCCATGATGGGTTGCCATGTCATCCAAACCAGGGAGACATATTCCATCATGAGTTACAGAAAGTGGTTAGCAAGTCACTGAGAAAGAGTGACACAAGTTCCTTGTCGCTCTTGCTGAGCTTGTCTAGGCTACCACCAGTGACAGTCG